TATGTTTCCTTCATTCGCAATATTCTTTAAAACAATCAAATGAACTTGTTATTTTGCTACTGTATAGTGTAAAACTATATAGTAGAAAATACAGATTGGATCACTGACAAAATTTTAATAAAGTCTATCATAAATGACTGGAACAGTATGTCAGTGGAGAACGGCTATACATGCATGCTGGGTTGAGAAGAGCTGTGGCCCTAGGGTCATCATAGCCAACATTAGATGAATCTTGGCCAAAAGCAGAGAGTACCAGAGGAATGTCTGTCTATGTATCATTGACTATGCAAAATCATTTGATTGTGTGGATCACAACAATTTGTGGTTAACTTTGAGAAGAATGGTAATCTCAGAACACATAAATGTCCACAATGTCCAGTGTGAAACCTATAGTTGGACCAGGAAGCGGTAGTCAGAACAAAGTAAGGAAACACTGCATGGTTCAGTATCAGGAGAAGTGTGTGTCGAGGATGCATCTTATCCGCATACCTTTTCAATCTATATACAGAACAGATCATTCAAGAGGCAGGACTTTACAAGGAGGAATGCGGCATGCATCAATCAGGATTGGAGGAAGACCTATCAATACCCTGTGTTATGCAAATGACACAAACTTGTATGCTGAAACTGAGGAGGATATGAGGCATAAATTACAGAAGATCAAAGAGTGTAGTCTTCAATATGGACTGAAGCTCAAAATCAAGAAAACAAAGATTATCACCACTGGACTGACTGGCAACTTCATGTGTAGAGAGGGTAAGATTGTTAACAACTTCAGCTTACTTGATTCTACAATCCACATTCTTTTTTTTTTATTATTTTTTTTACAATCCACACTCTTGACACCAGCAGTCAGGAAATCAAAAGATGAATTGTGTTGGAAAAAATCTGCTGTCAGGGCCCTCCCTAGAGTGCTGGAGAACAACAATACAGGCCATGGTCTTCTCAATTATTTGCTATGCCTCAGAGAGCTGGACAATGACTAAGGTTGATAGAAGAAGATTTGATGGAATGTTGAACATACCTGGACTGCCAAGAGAACAAACAGGTTAATCCTAGAGAGTATGAAGCCATTCTGCTCCTGGAAACAAAAAATTTTGAAGCTTCATCTCACATACTTGGGCACATGGCCAGGAGGGACCAGTCCTTGGAGAAGAACATTATATTTGGTAGGATGGAGGGACAGTGCAGAAGAGGGAGACAGGCTGAAATGGATTGACTCAGTGACTGGAGATGTGTGATTGGGTCTGTTGGAGGTGATGAGATTGGCTCAGGATAGAACAGAGTTCAGAGCTGTTGTACATAGGGTCACTATGAGTCACAGACAACTTGAGGGCACATAACAACATCAAAGAATACAATTTTCTAAAGGTATAGCCATTTTAGGGAGCTTTGCTACTTTAATAAAGTATCTAATTTCTCATTTTAAAAATATAATAAAAATGTTACAGGAGAACTAAAACATTAAAAAAATTACTAATTAAGTATCTTAAGCTAACACAAAAGGATGAGTAAGTATTCTCTTCCCTTGCTGCTATCTCTTTAAACTTTTCTGGAGGATCGGTTATTAATTGGTTTAGATTTATGGCAAACAACAACATGCTATTTTTAAATTTTATACTGATTTATTTACAAAATTTGAAAACATTGTTTTTAAAATCAGATTCTCCAAATTTCCCTCAACCCCCGCACCCCCGACCCCATCAAATTGTATAACCCCATGATTAATTCCCCTCTCCCCTTGCACATCCTCATCCCTCTGCTTCCACCCTCTTCCACCTTCCTGGATCCTTATACTCATTCTACAATAATAGTTTTATAGAATATTTATCCTTGTGGAACTGAGTTAGTTCACCCAGCATAATGCTCTCTAGTTCCTCCCAAGGTAGGTAATAATTTACAAAATTATTGCTCCTGCGTGTTGCATAGTATTCCATTGTGTGAATGTACCATAATTTCTCAATCCATTCGTAACAATATGCTATTTAAATCATATTAAAACTCACACTAATTGCTGTCTGTTGTTATTAGGTGCCATCGAGTTGTAGACGACTCATAGCGACCCTATGAACAAAAGGCCTGAGTACTGTTCGTACACAGAGTTTCTGGAGGCAGGCCATTTTGGAAGTGGATGCCGCTCCTGCTTCCAGGCTTGTTTTAGTCAGGAAGCTCCAGCAAACACTGTCCACCATGGGTAACCATTATCACATTTGGCATATCAGTGTCACAGTGTTCAGCATCACAGCAGCCAAGAGTTACCTCTATACAACATTGCATAAACCAGTGCTATACCACCTAGAAGGATGTTTGACAGGAAAACAATTTTAACCCCGACTAAGAGCCGTAGAATAAAATCAGCCATCTTTGGCTTGGTAGCATAACTTTCTGTCTACTAGGCCAATGTAGCTCTCTCTATGTCATCATTGTTATTGTTGTTAGGTGCCGTCAAGTCATAGACGACTCATAGCGACGCTATGAATGAAAGGCCTGAGCACTGTTAGTACATAGAGTTTTCGGAGGCAAGCCATTTTGGAGGTGGATGCCGCTCCTGCTTCCAGGCTTCATTGCTCTCTAGTTTTCATTTGGCAGGTCATGCAAAGCAAAAAAGAAAATGTGAATACAGAAAAGCCTGTGGTCAAAGCAAATGTAATAGTATAATTAATGAAGAAATTCTATTAATGGTTCTTCCTATTTTACAACTTGATTGCTTAAAAAAATGTCTTCTTCCATACAAAGTGAAAATTGGTCATAAGGTCTTTAGCTATATACAGAATTTTTAGTATATATGACAACTGTTGTAATAATAAAAAGTTAAAACTTCGGGGAGATATTAAAATTAATGCAATGCAGTCCATGTGGTAGGGTTGGAGTGATTATTATGTTAATGAAAGTGGCCCTAGTGTTAAGAGTCCTATTGTTCTAAAGGAAGTTAGTCCTTTCCAAATCTCCATGGTTGTCTTGTTGAAGACTCTTCAACTGCCATATGCTGATGACACAACCTTGCTTACTGAAAACAAAAAGTATATAAAACTCTTGCTGCAGAAGGTCAAGGACTACAGTCTTCTCCATAGAGTACACCTCAACATCAAGAAGACCAAGATCATCACCACAGGACCAACACTCAACATTATGACAGATGGAGGAAAGATTAAAGCTCTCAATTGTTTCATCTTGTTTGGATTAACAATCAACATCCTTGTTACTAGGAGATCAGGAGATGTATTTCATTGGGTAAGTCTGCTGTCAAGGACTTATCAAAAGTACAGAAGAGCAATGATGTTACTTTGAAGACTGAAGTGCATCTGACTCAGGCCATGATCTTCTCAATCACTTGCTGTGTATCAGAGAGCTGGACAATGAATAAGGAAAGAATTGATGCTTTTGAGTTGTTTGTTGTTCTGGAGAAGAATATGGAATATCCCATGGAATACCAAAAGAACAAGTAGTTATGTCCTGGACAAGGTGGGGATAGAGTGCTCCTTGGAGACAAGGGTGATGAAGTTTGTCTTTCATACTTTGCTTATGTAGTTAGGCAAGGCTGTTTCTTGGAAAGAGTCTCATGCTTGGTAAGATGAAGGGAAGGTCAGTGAATGAGAGGAAGACTCCCAACAAGATGGATTGACACAGTGACCTCAGTAATGGATTCTAGAGTAATTCAGAGATGGTAAGGATGACACAGGATAGTCAAGTTTTATGGTGGCTGTTCATAGGTTCACTATGAATCCTACTGCACTGGATGGCACCTAAGAACAAGGTCTTGTGGGGATGGTGAAGAAATTTCCTGAGATAGTGCCATTTTGTAAACACAGAAAAAACCTGAGTGTTCTTTAATTTTTGTTTTATTTTAAGATAATATTTATGCTTACAAGCTTAAAATGGAAGCAAGCAACCATTTCTGTAAATTGAATCCAGCTCGTATTAATTTTTTTATGGCTTTTACAGGTTATCGAACCTATTTCATTATCTAATTCCATTGATTTGATTCTACCTCAAAGAGACCCTTTTGGACAAAATTATACTGCCCAATAGGATTTCCACAATTTAATCTTAATTTTACTCCTAAGAAACCACTAGTAGTTTCCAATTCCATATATTTTTGGTTAGTAGCTCAGCAGTTAACCACTGTGACAACTATTATCACTAATAAAATGGTTACAAAGAAATGTTCATTGGTAGGACAAAACTTTCCTGTTTTAATTACTTGTATTGCTTATGTCACCATATCTTTTAGCATTTCTCTAAGAAAGTCCTTCATGTTTTTGCTTTCTCCTAGAATCAGTCTTCTCCCTTAAGATTCTCTCTCTCCACACACATCTTTACCCTTCTCACCTTCAGGGTCAATTTTTCTAACGCATAGTTCTGACCTTATTTACCTCCCACTATCCAACATCTCTGTTAGGGACCTCTCCAAAGTGCTGAAGAGCAGTGGTGTCTCTCTGGAGACTAAGGTGCGTCTGATACAGGCCATGGTCTTCGCAATCACCTGTTATGCATCAGAGAGTTGGACAATGACCAAGGAGGATAGAAGGAGAATTGATGCCTTTGAGCTGTGGTGCTGGAGAAGAGTATTGAGAATACCATGGACGGCTAGGAAAACAAACAGATTTGTCCTGGAGAGGGTTAAACAGGGTAGCTCCTTGGAGGCAAGGATTCTGAGGCTCTGTCTAACTTACTTTGGACATGTTGTGAGGAGAGACCGGTCCTTGGAGAGGGACATCATGCTTGGGAGGGTGGAGGGACGGCACAGGAGAGGAAGACCCTCTATGAGGTGGATTGATTCATTGACTGGGATAATTGGGATGGGAGTGTCAGAGACAGTGCGATTGGCACAGGACAGAGCGGAGTTTAGGGCTGTTGTACATAGGGTCGCTATGAGTCACAGGCGACTCGACGGCACTTAACAACAACAACAACATCCAACATCTATTGAACAGCAATATTTTTGGACACAACACTTGTATTTTATGCTGATCTCTCTTCTCTTCATGCATAGATTGAAGATGAGTAATGAGAGTTTGGGAGGTGATTTCATACTTGTGGGCTTTTCTGACCAGCCGAAGCTTGAGAAGATCCTTTTTGTGATTGTACTGATCTGCTATCTACTGACACTAGTAGGCAACACAATTATCATCATGGTCTCCAGTGTGGATCCTATGCTGCAAACACCCATGTATTACTTTCTCACCAATCTCTCTTTTGTTGACCTCTGCCTTACTACCAGCGTTGCCCCTCAACTACTCTGGAACCTTCATGGTACAGACAAGACAATTACTCCGATAGGCTGTGCTATTCAACTTTATGCATCTCTAGCACTAGGATCCACTGAATGCATTCTTCTAACTGTCATGGCATATGACCGTTATGCTGCTGTTTGCCGCCCACTTCATTATGTTACTGTTATGCATCCACGACTTTGCCAATCGCTTGTAGGAGTGTCATGGTTGAGTGGATTGGGCAACACCCTGATTCAGGGCACCATCACCCTTCGGCTACCCCTTTGTGGGAACCGGAAGATTTACAACTTTATGTGTGAAGTCCCTACCATGATCAAGCTGGCTTGTGTAGATGTTCACGCCAATGAAGTCCAGCTCTTTATGGCTTCTTTGATATTGCTTCTCCTTCCTCTGTCACTCATTTTGATCTCCTATGGATACATTGCTCAAGCAGTGATGAGGATCAGGTCAGTTCAAGCCTGGCGTAAAGCCCTAGGAACATGTGGGTCCCATCTGTTGGTAGTGTCTCTCTTCTATATGACCATTACAGCTGTCTATATCCATCCCAACAGTTCCTATGCCCAGAGTCAGGGAAAGTTTATAACCCTTTTGTATACTATAGTAACTCCCACCTTGAATCCTCTGATTTATACTCTAAGAAACAAAGATGTCAAGGGGGCTTTGAAGAGGCTGGTGCAAAGAGATCAGAATATAGCAGATTAAGAAACTGATGAAAGACATGGTTTAACTAAGGCAAGTTTGCTGAAAGACTAAAAAATATCCTAAATTCATAGTTCTTTGACAATTTTACAAATAAACTTTCTTATAACCCCCTACTTAGCGTATTGCATTCAACATATTTTAATCTCTCAGTCAATTGGTTTACCGAATAAAGTACAAATGAAATTTCCCTCATCTCTGGGGTCCCTCTCCTCTTATTTAAAACCTAGATGAAACCAACTTATTAACTTACCTTGACTTTATAGAAATAAGAATATTGTTGCAGTCCAGCAGATTTGATTCATGAGGACCTCATGGGTTACAGAGTAAATGTGGGCTGTGGTGTTTTCTTGACTGCTATTTATACAGAAGTATGGCCCTTAAGATCCTGCTTCTGTGGTACCACTGGTTGGGTTTGTACTGTCAATTTGGGATAAATAGTGTAGCACAAACTGTTTGCATTGTACAGGATCTTCTTAAAGAAGTAAGGTATTTGTTAACAATTAGTTAGATGGCTTCAAATTTTTGTGTTATGTTTTGTTCACGAAGGCAATAAGATACTGCACATTTGGACTCAACCCTTGAATAAAGAGAAACATACTCTGAAAGTTCACCTCATCTGAGTTTAACTCGTATACTTCTGGATGATCTGGTACATCTAGTAGTTGAACTCTTTTTTAACAATCTATATTTGATTCTTTGATAAGTTAGATTTTGATTGCATGTGTTCACACTAGTGGCAGCAGGATGGGCTTTAAATTTGTTGCTGTTCAATCATTAAGTAATTTCATCACATAATCACAAGAATATAAACTCTGACAGGTGATGATTGAAACTAATTTAGTGTTTATATGTGTGAAGATTATAGTATTTTATCTGAATTTGATGGAATTTTCTCTGTGCATGTTCTCTGTGCATCTTATATTTAGATAAGTACTTCCAAATCTAAACGTAAAAGCTGTCTTTTACCTTCAAATGTCCTTTTAGAATATTTATTTGATTTTGGCCTTAATAAGTATTCATATAATCAAAAATTATATATATCAAAGACAATATGAATGACAATACTCCTCATGAGAGTTTTTGGTTTTGATAAATTTCTATTCTTATAAGGAACCTTAAAACAAAAGCATTGGGGTCCCTAGACTCTCATACTCAGTCTTCTTTGTTAGTTTCTTTAAAAATTTTAGATGATTATGTAATTTTATATTTCTTCTGGATATTTTAGGCTAATTATAGGAAAACTTACACCATTGTAAATTAGGCAGACTAATCAAGAAAAGAAGAATTTCCTACAGATATGAGACTTGATATTTCCAATTCTAAGGCAGTCTTTTGACCAAAAACTATTAGAAAATATATCACCATATTAAGAACACAGAAAAAGAGAACATTTTTTCATATTCCAAGGAGTAAAAAAAATTACTCAAATGTCTATCAGTGATGTCAGGGAAAGATCTAGCAATATTTAGTTTTATATCTTTATTTAGCTAATGAGACCTTAAAATAAAAATTATCTAAATTTTCAGTTTTCTGCCTTCAATTTTTCCCAGATATAATGATTTAATAAAATGATTTATACCTATAAATCCTTAAAAACTTTCCACATATGCAATTTTTACTGAAAGAGCTGTGTAATTTTTCCTGACTTCTCCCCTCATGCATTCTACCTTGGTGCATTCTAATGTTGTCAGATACTCTCAAATGTCTGATATCAGGCAAAAGTTGACATATACAAAAGCTATAAGATATACTTTCAGAAATACTAGAAAGATTATGCTACATGAATTTGTTATTAGCTTCTGTTGAGTCAACCAGGACCCAAAGCTATCTTAAGAACAGCACATCTGTACCATTCCCTGTTCTGTGCCACCTTCAGCATCTACGATATACTTTAGTCACTTGTTACAGTCATTGTGTCAATTCATCTCATTAAGGGTCTTCCTCTTTTTCACTGACTCTCCACCTTTCCATGCATACTATCTTTTTTCCAAAGGCTGACCTCTTTTAACAACATGCTGAAAGTATTTGAGATGATACTTCACCATTCTTCCCTCTAAGAAGCACCCTGGTTTTACTTTCTCCAAGACAAATATGTTTGTTCTGTTGGCAATCCATGGGATATTCACGACCCTTCTCTAACATCACAACTCAAAGACACTGATTCTTCTATCTTGCTGAAAAGTATACATATTTGTTCTTATTAGATATCATCAAATTGACTACAATTTAGAGGGACCCTATGAAAAAAAGATATTAACTTTGCCCAATTCTTTTACTATTTCATGGTCTCTGATATGCTTGGGCTCAATTTAATAGTCATTTTGTCAATCTATCTTGTTGAAAGTGTGTGTGTGTGTGTGTGTGTGTGTGTGTGTGTGTGTGTGTGCTACAAAGGTGTGTTTTATTATTTTGGTTGAGATTTGGGCTGTTTGTGTGTTTTTGTGTTTCATTCACAATTGAGTGTGAGCTGATTTGATTTAGCCTTGTATTTAAAAGGTAGTGGGTCGCCAGTTTGGGGCTGGTATCCATTTTGTGTGGAGCAGTTGGAATCTGCAAAGATGTGCTTTCTTGTTTTAGTGGAGGCTTGGTTTTAATTGGTTTTGGTCAAACGTTCTTCTAATTAGAGTTGTATATCACTGACCTTTCAATTTGATGTACACTAGTAACTCATGGTTGTTGTGATGCTAAACACTGTGACACTTATTTGTCAAATGTGATACTGGTTATCCATGGTGAGCAAGTACTTGATGGAGCTCCCAAATTAACACAGGTAGAAAGCAGAAGTGGCACCCACTTCCTAAATAGCTTGCTTTTGGAAACTCTTTGAACTTAGAAAAATGATGATAGTTATCAGGTATTTCATTCATAG